GAGTCGCTGTTGTTGGTGTCGTACTTGCAGACAAGATGTCGTCGTCCACAAGGGTGGTTGTGGTGACGCGTTGTGTGTGTTATGTGTGTGTGTGTGTGTGTTGTGTGCATGTTGTGTGCGTGCGTGAGCGTTGCCTTCTCTCGCACACTCCACTTGTCTTTCTTTCATTTCGCTCACTTCACTGTTGCTCGCAGGTTTGTGGACAAGATATTCTCCACCCATGACACTGGCTCCTCCTCTGTTGGCGCCCAGTTCAAAATCAGGTATGTGTGTGTGTGTGTGTTGTGTGTGAGTGTGTGGCTGTGTCTGTGTGTGCGTGTACGTGCGTGTGCATATGTGGTGTTAACATGCGCTTGCTCGTTAACACGTGTGTGCAAGTCTTGGTTTTCCAAATGCGTGTTTGTTGTTTGTGCGTTTTCTGCATCTTTCAGCGTCCTGCTTGTCTTCGCACATGGCTCTTGCGTCTCCCTTTTGCACTTGTGCTCTCACACACACGTACATGCTTACACGCTGATGTAATTATTGCACACAACACACCGCACAATGCACACGTCGTTGGTGTGATCTGCCTGCTGTTCTTCGTTGTGTAGGAGCACTTTGGTGGACGGCAAAGTCATCAAGTGGCACGTGTCAGATGCAACAGGCTCCGACCGCTTCTTCACCATCACCGCCGGCTTCCTGCGCGCCGGCGATGTGATCCTGCTCACCTTCGACCTCACCAACCCGGAGAGCTTCGAGAGCCTGGAGACGTGGGTGGGCGAGGTGAAGAAGAAGGCGCGAGAGGACGTGCTTCCCGTGCTCGTTGGCTGCAAGTCGGACGGCGACCGCCAGGTAACCGACGACACCATCCGCGAGTTTGCCAAGCGCCACAAGCTCATGTACTTTGAGACGAGTGCCATGGAGGGGAAGGGCGTGGAGGACATGTTTGACCACATTGGCCTGCGGCTGATGGAGAAGCAGGCCAGCGTGGCCAAGACGGGTGCCGGGGCCGTGCGCGGGAACGGGGCGCCGCAGGTTGGCTGGCTCATCAAGCGCGGGTCGCGGTGGCCGCACAAGTGGCAGCGGCGCTGGTTTGTGCTGGACAGCAAGCAGCTCTCCTACTCGCGGGAAGAGGCGCCCAACAGCCAGATCCTCGGCTACCTGGACATTGACGCCGTGATTGGCGTGCGCGTGGAGTCTGGCGCCCCGCACTACGGGTTTTCTCTGCGAACGCCAAAGCGCACGCTGCAGATGCGCGCCGGCAGCCAGGCCGTGCGCAACCAGTGGCTGGAGAAGTTCAGCGACGTGATCCGCGTGGTGCCGGACACGCGGGTGAAGCTGCAGCACCCGCTGCCGGAGCTGTCGCGCGGGGAGGTGGTGATCAAGGGCCTCATCCTGCAGCAGAACCTGCCCGTCTCCGTGCACCACCCGCAGCTGGACAAGCTCTTCCATGCCAGCGACGCCTTTGAGTTTTACCAGTACGTGCAGTGCCTGAAGAAGCTTGGCGGCGGGCACCGCAATATTGTGGCCTTCCACGGCTTCACCGCGCTGCCCATCCCCGCCAAGCTGGAGAATGTGCCGGCAGACACGCTGACGCGGCTGGCGTCGATGGGGGTGAAGACCACACCCGCTGTCCTCCTTGACCTCTTTGAAACGCCAATGACATCCGTCTTCCTCACAGACACCCGGCCACGCACCCTCAAGCAATCCCTCACGGTGTGTGTGTGTGTGTGTGTGTGTGTCTGTGTCTGTCTGTCTGTCTGTCTGTCTGTCTGTCTGTCTGTCTGTGTGTGTGTCTGTGCATGAAGGTGTGTGACATGTGTGGGTGTGTATGAAGTGTGTGACGTGTGGGTGTGTATGTGTGTCATTGCACTTCTACGTTTGTTCGTTGTGTCTTGCTGCTGTCGCTGTTGCGTGCATGCTTACAACATACAAGCCCTCACCACCCATGACCACATCAACCACTTGTTGCCACAACTGCGCTCACGGTCAACAGGCCATGCTTGAGGTTGCCTCTGCTGTGGAGTACTTGCACAGCCACTCGATTGTACACACGGACATTGCGGCAAACAACATCATCTGCACGCGCGACCTCAGCCTGAAGATTCGCCTCCTCCCCTCTGCCCGCTCCTTCTCAAAGTCAAACGAATTCAAAGGCAGACAAGGACAGCCGGTACGACGCGCTCGTTTGTTTGTTTGTTTGTTTGTTTGTTTGTTTGTTTGTTTGTTTGTTTGTTTGCGTGTTGTGGTGATAACAAGACATGTTTGGTGAAGACTACATGTGCTCTGCCTCGTTTGTGCATGTGTTGTTGATCATCTTCTCTCACCAGCGCCAACCCGCCCCACACCCCTTCTCCCACCCAATCTTCGTGACGCGCGTGCGTATTGGTGGCAGGGGTACCAGTCGCCCGAGTCGCAGCGGGACCGCCCGTGGACGTCGATGGTGGATGTGTATGCGCTGGGCGTGCTGCTGTTTGAGATTGCGCACCAGCGGTCTGCGTACTTCTACCCCGGCAGCCCCTATGAGGCCGGCAGGTCCATCCAACCCGGCACGCGGCCCGACCCCGCGGAGACGGCGACGGCGGCGGCGCAGTGCGAGGCGGTGCAAGGGCTGATCAACGACATGATGAGCAGCGAGCCGGGCGAACGGCCCGTGCCGCGCAAGGTGGTGGGGGCGCTGCAGCGGGAGCTTGCCAAGATTGCGGAGAGCGAAGAGGCAAACGAGCGCGGGGGCGCGGAGTAATGGACGACACGGGATGCTGATGAAGTGAAGGACAACAGCATCGCAGTTGATGGAGAAAATACATGTGTTGCGTGCGTGTGTGTGTATGTGTGCGTGTGTGTGATTTGCCTGTGTGCGTGTGTGTGTGAATTGCGTGTGTGGTGTTTCTTGCAGTGTTGCTTGCTTCCTTCTTGCTTGCTTGCTTGCTCGTTACCGAAATCTGTTCTCTTCCCGACACCTTTGTTGTGTGCGTGGTGTTGTTATATGCGTCCATGTATATGAGCGATAGAGGTCACATGCGCGCCTTACGTATGTGTGTGAGTGTGTGTGAGTGTGTGTGAGTGTGTTGCCTGTACTGTTGTGCGTTGAGGCATTGCCGTTCCAGCCATCGCATTGTCAGTGTGTCGTGCATGCGCCCAACAAATAAACGGCACTTGATGCTTTCTGTGCGTTTTGCGTGCTCGCTATCCAGCTAGCATGTTTTCCTTGTACTCCGAGCTACAACGCTGACTACGACAGCGTGGGGACCAGAAGACATGAGACGGTACACGACCAGCGTGCCCACGGGCAAGACAACACAGCACAGGCCATAGCGAGGGAATCAGAGAGGGGGGGGGGGTCAAGAGCCAGGGAGGGAGAGGTGGAAGACGAGAAAAGAAGAGGGGGGGGGGGACGGAGACGACTTTGACACACACACACACACACACACACACACACACACACACACACACACACACACACACACACACACACACGCACACACACACACACAGCACAGCACAGCACAGCACAGCACAGCACAGCACAGCACAGCACAGCACAGCACAGCACAGCAGCCGCAAACTCATGACTTGGTTGGGATGAGCATGACGATGAAGCTGAGCCAGACGAGGCAGCAGCCCGCAATCTGCATGGGCCCGATGGTGATGCCGTGGAAGACAGCGTCCGCAGCGGCGTTGAGAGGAATGCCCACAACCGTGCCCAGCGACACAAACAGCGGGAAGGTGTACGCAACGCCAAAGTTGACCAGGAAGTTGAAGGCCAACGCAAGCGCAGCACTGCCGCACAGGTACGACCACGGCACAACAGCCCACTCAAAGGGTTCCGCATCCGTTTCTTGCAATATGAGCCAAAAGGGCCACACCAACACAATGTTGATGGCTGCGAGCGCCGCAAGCAGCGCCACGACCGTGTGCAACCCGGCATCGCCCAGCGTCACCTTGAAGAACACCTTGTATGTGGCGGCGCACACGGACGCGCCGAGCGTGAGCAGCACGCCGCCAGCGCTGACGCCGTTCACGTGCTGTGCAAGCGCAATCAACAACACACCGCCGATGGCAAGCGCAACCGCAAGCACCTTGAGCAGGGCCAACCGCTCGTGGAGCAGCAGAAGCGACAGAATGTACACCACGGCAGGCGTGGCGGAGAACACGGCCGTGACATCCGTCGCCGTGATCAGACCCAGCGCCTTCACATACAGGTAGTTGGCCAGCACCCACAACAGGCAGAAGGGCAGAACGAGGCGGAAACAGCACATCCGCGAGATGTGCGGCTCTGAAACCGGAGGAGCGCTTCCATACCCGGATGCCGGGGTCAGCTGCACAGCTGGCGCGTGTCCAAGCCAGATGCGGATGAACCCGGGTGGGAGGCGTGATTGCGACTGCAGGAACTGCCGTATCGCGTCTTGAAGCCAAGGATACGGGGACAGCACACGCGACGGCTTCGTTGATGGAGACGATGGTGTTGATGGTAGCAAGGGCGATGCTGCGTCCACGGGCGTTGCACTAACAGCAACGGTGGGCACCTGCACGCTCACAGCTCCAGCCTTGACGGTGTCACTGCCCGTGCTGATGGTGCTGGTGCTGGTGCTGGTGTGTTGAGGATTGTCGCTCGCGGTGGCTGGGGTCCGCCGGGAGTACGGCACGAGGAGGGCGACAATGGAGAGCACGAGCCAGCTCGTGGAGAACCACACGTTGAACAAGGGTGCGTTGAAGGTGGACGAGTACGTTGAGCGGGAGAATTGGGTTGAGCCAACCCAGGAGACGGCAATGGCCAGCACAAGCAGCGCTCGAAGGATCAAGCTGTACACGTGCACATGTCCACAACACACGCGCCCGTGGTGATGCGCGTGGTGGTGCTCGGAAGCATGTTCATGGTCGTGGTGATGATGGTGGGCAGTGTCGTTGGTGTGATGGTGGTGGTGGTGGTGGCTGTGGTGTGGCGTGCTGTCCTCATCTCCAGCCATCGTGCTTACACTGAACTCAGTTTTGTTTGTGTGGAAAGTGCGCAAGCAAGAGACTCGAAGAAGTTGGAAGCAAGAAGCAGCAAACAAGCAAGCAGCTCAGCCGCCCACCCCCCTTCCCACGGGCTTTGCTCAACAAGATGGGTCTGATCAGGCTGCCTGCGTTTCGGCTGACGAAGCTCACGCGAGCCCAGCGGCACAGTCAGAATGAAGATCCCGTGCAGCAGGCAGAGCAGACGGCTGCTGCAAGGCAAGCGCGGTGTTTTGTGGGCCTCTTTCTGTCTCCATGTCCTGCCCTACCTCGGTGTTCTGCCTCCACGTCCTAACCCAGTCTCCTTCACCGATCTTGCGCCACTGCCGCCCACCCATTACCAGGAAGGAGTCCGTCTTTGAGGATGTTGGACAGGCTGCCAAGGCTGCTGATGATGTGCAAACGAGCTTTGACGGCGCCCAACAGGCTGCCACCACACAGGTGAGCCAGCGAACAAACACCGTAACTTGTTTGAGTCTCCGCACACAGTGCATGTGTTTGTTTGCATAAGTGCGTAATTGTGTGTGTGTGTGTGTGTGTGCATGATGTGTGTGTGTGTGTGTGTGTCTGTGTGTGTGTGTCTGTGTGTCTGTGTGTCTGTGTGTCGTGCGTGCGTGTCGTGCGTGTGTGTCTGTGTGTATGATGTGTGTGTGTGTGTGTGTGTTGTGCGTGTGTGTCGTGCGTGCGTGTCGTGCGTGTGTGCTAGTACGAACATTTATGTGAGGTTGTTGCTGTTGCGGCCGTCAAACCAAACAGGGCGCAGGTGATTCACCAGGCTGCTGCTCTGTTTGTATGAATTGCTTTACATGACACTGGTGTAGACATCCGTTGTGCAAGGCAACATCACCGACGAAGTCAGGTGCGAGAGGACAAAGTGAACGGCGTGACGTGATGTGATGTGATCAGGCATTTCAGACGTCTTATCCTCTTGCTTTGGCTCAACTCAACCTCCCCCCCCCCCCGGCCCATTTTGTCAAACGCACAATCATGTCACATCTCAACACCCATGGTCTGTTTGTCGTTGGCAGTGAGCATCAACAAGCTGGCTTCCAAAACGCAGGCATGCCGGTCCATCTCACCACAGCCGCACAGGCCGCTGTGTCTGAGGTCAGTTGGCCATCTGGGGTTGACAAACTTGTGTATGTGTGTGAGAGAGTTTTGTTCGTTCGTTCGTTCGTCTATACAGCTGTGCTTTCGTGCCAGTGTCTGTCCTGGGCCACTGCCCTTGCCTCTGTGCCTCTGTGTCTATCCTCCTGCCCGATTGCACCCCTTTGCCATCCATGGCGCGACTTTGCCACAATCTGGTGGTCTTTTCCCTCCCCTGTCATCCATAACACCACACACATCTTCCCCCAAAGGACGACAATGCTGCGGCGTACAAGTCTGTGCTGAGTCTGATTGAGGACCGGATTGGCGGTTTCAGGGAGAAGGGGCTGGCACCACAGCCGCTCACGGATTACGCAAGGGCTGCATTCCACGTCACACAGGAGCAGCACGACGCGTTTCGCCTGCAGGTCTCTCCATCACAACTGCCGTGCACACACACCCCCCCCCCTTCACGTTGTGCAACTTGGCAAATGCGTCTATTTCATGATGACATCTGCACGCACACTCGCACACACACACACACGCACACGCACGTTATCGACAATCTTCATTCTTGATGTTTCTAACGTTGTATTAACCCCCGTCTCTCTTCCCTGTGCTCCCTTGTGCGTGCCAGGTCCCGAAACACGAGAAGACGTGCATTCCTGTGCTGCATGTGATGGTTGAGCGTGCAACCAACCTCCTCGACAAAGATGTCTCTGGAAAGTCGGATCCATACGTCATCCTTCGCCTGGTACATGGCTGTGTATGTGTGTGTGTATGCATGTCGGTGCCAGTGTCTGTGTGTCGGTGTGTGCCCGTGTCTGTCTGTCTGTCTGTCTGCCTGCCTGTCTGCCTGCCTGTCTGTGCATTGATACTCTTCCGATGCCACCCACTGCCTTCCATCTTTGGTTGACATAACATTTCCCACAACGTGTATGTCTGTGTCTGTGTGTTTTCCATGTTCAGTTTTCGTCTTCTGAGAACATCAAGCACAAGCTGCACGACAAACACGCGGAGCAGCACCAGGCGCACAAGTCGAGCATCATCCGCAATGACCTCAACCCCGTCTGGAATGAAGGTGCTGTCGATGCTGCACAGCAAAATGTTTATCCCCGCGCCTCTTGACAAGCTTGCTGTGTGGCACACCGACAATGATTGTGTTTATGCGTACACACAACATACTGCTTCACTTGTGCCACGGCACACACCCACCACCACCACCACCACCACCACCACCACCATCATCACGCACGCTGGCTCACGCACGCACACACGCACGCACACACGCACACACACACACACTTGTGCACATACGCACACATACACGTGCGCGTAATGCAGAGTTTACGTTTGATGTTGACACACCCGACAGCGCGCTGCTCGTTGTGGATGTGTGGGACAGCGACAGCGATGAGCACTTCTCTCTGTCAAAGGCGTCTCACGTACGTTGAACCAAGCAACGGGTGGTGACGACAAACAACAACAAAAATAACACCGCTGCTCTATCTCTTTCATGTTCACTGGCTGGTGGCCATGCCACCTGTGTCCTCTGCATCTCACGAGCCTGTGTGCGTGTATGCGTGTGCGTGTGTGTGTGTGTGTGTGTGTGTGTGTGTGTGTGTGTGTGTGCGTGTGTGTGTGTGTGTGTGTGTGTGTGTGTGTGTGTGCGTGCGTGTGCAGTTCAAGTTGACGGAATTCAAGCCGTGCCAGTTCGTCAAGGACAAAGTGCAGGCGCTTCACCACAAGGAGAAGGACGACTTCCTTGGCCATGCAGAAGTGAGACGCTCAGTGCACGTCATGTGTACTTGTTTGCACGCTGTTGAAATTGCGATGCACACATGCTGCGCACATGCGACACCTGCTGCAATGCTGTGACCCCCACAAGCTGATGCAATCATCTCTGCTCTACCCCAATGATTCTGTACACTTCAGCTCCCCGTGTCCGCCGTGCCAGTCGAGGGCACTCCGTACGTCATCATCATCATCATCTGTGTGTGTGTGTGTGCGTGTCTGTGCGTGTCTGTGTCTGGTCGGCTGCCTGGCTGTGCGTCTACCTGTCTGTCGACCTGTCTGTCAGTCAGTCCGCCTATCTGCGTGCCTGTGCCTGCTTGTCTTCTTCTCTGTCCCACTTTCCTCTGTCCGTTTCGTGCGTGCACCTGCAGTGTATCACCAACCTTCCTCCGTTTGCTTGCATGCACATGTTGGCAGCATCCAACTGCGGCTCCAGCCCCGCTCGTCCCGGTCAAGTGTTCGCGGCACCATCGAGCTCAAGTGCGTTGCAGACTGCTGGCAGTGTGGAAACATAATTTATGGGACACGTGTTTGTTTGTTTTTTTGTTTTTTTGTTTGTTTGTTTTTTTGTTTGTTTGTGTGAGTTTGTGTGAGTTTGTGTGAGTTTGTGTGTTTAGCTGTCTGTGTGGCAGTAGGCCTCTTCTTGCTTGCTGCCATTGCACGTTCCCCACAGGACTGCTTCCCCTAACACCCTCCCCCATCTGCCCCCTCGCACCCCCAATCACTGCCTGGCCAGGCTGTGGTGGACGACGAAAGCGCTCAAACCGGAGGACCGGGCGGTGACGCCGGCAGTGATTGTGGAGCAGCACCGTGCACTGCTGCACCGCCTCGTCGACTATGAGGCCGCTCCTTTCAACGGTACATGATGCCCTCTTGTCCCCCTTTGCTTGCGACCGTGGTGTAGATGGCGCACACGCCAGCAGACTGTCTCGCGAGGACGCACACAGCTTTTGGCACACCTGCAAACATTCCCCCCCTCCCGGTCCACCTCGTCCCTGGTCTGACACTTTGGCAATCACGCCTACCTCTGCTGCTTACGCCCTTGCTTCGTCGTCGTGTGTGGGGTCACCAGGAGATCGCAGCCGCGCCTGGCCGGGCACGTTTTCCACTCAGGCGCGCCACCTCCTGCGGCAACACGCCCTCAGGCACGCCATCACCCCATTTCAAGAGGTGCGTATGTGTGTGTGTGGTGGTGTGGGTGGGTGTGTGTGGGTGTGTTGGTGTGTGTGTGTGTGTGGTGGTGTGTGTGTGTGTGTGTGTGTGTGTGTGGGTGTGTGTGTGGGTGGGTGTGTGTGTGTGTGGGTGGGTGTGTGTGGGTGTGTGTGGGTGTGTGTGTGTGTGGGTGGGTGGGTGTGTGGGTGTGTGCATACATGCATGCGCATGCGTGTGAATGAGTGTGTGTGTGTGTGTGTGCGCGTGTGCATACATGCATGCGCATGCGTGTGAATGAGTGTGATATTTTTGTGTGTGGAGGAGGGGAGGGGTTCGGACATATACGTGTGTACGTGGTTGCTGTTCTGTGAGCGTACGACTACAAGGGCATGATTTTCACCCAATGTGCTCCCAATATGCCGATCCCTCACTAATGTCAATGCTCCTCGTCTTGTAATGCGCCATGCGAAAACCAACAGCTCGTTGCTCGCTTCCGCGTGTTTTCTGAGTACAACGTGCGCGAGCGCATGAACTTGGTTCCTCTGCAGCGCCTGCTCAAGGTGTGCTCTTCGTGTGTACGGGAATGCATGCATGCGTATGTGTGCGCGTGCGTGTAAACTGTACAAATTGTGGACCTGTCGGAAGCGACCAGCATATGCATGCTGTTGATAACGACTGTCTTGTTGACATCATTATGATGTATGACCTGTGGATGTGCTCGAGCACTTCTTTTCACGCTGGAACAACACGACACCCCGTCCACACAAATGTTCATGTGTGTACGCGTGTGCTGCCGATCACATGTACAAATGCAGGACATCAATGATCGGTGGGACGACACCACCCGGGAAACGCATCTGAACCCCAGCGAGCAGGAGGTGCAGAAGTTTGTGCTCGATGCACACACACACACACACACACACACACACACACATATGCAAACCACAAATACGTACACGTGCATACACAACAAGCACCTGTACAAATCCATGTTCACTCATGCTCGCGTGCACCTTCATTACCGTGGCGCGTCGTCGCTGCGTGCAGGCCCTCGCGCTTGCGATTGACCATACCGTGCAGGCGTGTCTGGAGATCATTGGGCGCCTCTTCCTTGATTTCAAGCAGGACGAAGCCGGCCAGATTGCTTTCGCCACCACCATCCTCACCCTCAAGACATGCTTTGCGTACGTGATGGCTGTCCTGTGTGTCGCGGGAGTAAGCTTTTGTGTGTGTTCTGCTCTGTGTGTGTGTGTGTGTGTGTGTGTGGTTGCGTGGGTTGCATGAGAGACTGTGTCAGAGTACGTGCAACTGGTTGCTGCTGCCTCCCGCTTGCCCACTCTGCTCGATGCACCCCCATCCGTATCATGTTCTCACCCGCGATGTCCTTTCGTGCACGTACAGAGCACCGCTTTGGCGCCTCGCTCCCGACAACACGGAACGCGTGCTCATCAACGAAGTCGATGCCACGATTCGCAACCACTTGCGTACTTTCTACGACCACGTCCTGTCGGAAGCCGCCAACTCTGAAAAGGTGTGGGCTTACACAGCTTTATTTATTTGGCTTGCTGGTTTCAGACATGATGTCACATCACATCAACGCTGTTTGAACGTCCCCCCCCCCACCCACGCTTACATGTACACCACTTCCCCCCTCCCCGCCCAATAACCACGTGCCTTGCAGGACTTTTACGGCAGTGACATTGTACGCCAAGTTGTTGCCATCAAGCGTCTCATCACAACAATGGCTGCAGCACGCCAGCTCTTTCGGTGCGTTGTTGTCATTGTACCTGTGGTCATGGGTTGTGCGTTGCGTTGTGTGTGCGTTGTGTGTGTGTGTGTGTGTGTGTGTGTGTGTGTGTGTGTTGTGGAACGTGTTTTAGGTTGATGTGTTGTGTGGTATGATTTAGGTTTGTGGCTGTGTGCAACTGTGTGTCGACATTGTGTCCGCGCTACCCAGGTCAGCTCACATGCGGCTTGGTTTGTAACTGTGCGCCCCTTGCTCAGGCCGGCGCTGCTGCCACTCGACTACGACTTGTTCGTCGTCACCGTGGATGTGCTTGATGATCCACTGGCCAAATCATGCCAGGTACCTCTTCAGGCGTTGATTTCTTCACCCACATAGAGATTCGTTCACGCACACAACACGCATACAACACGCATACAATGCGCGTGCAGCCTGCTTGCTAGCTCAGATCAATCTGCTTACACTCATTCCCTCACTCACACTCACTCATTCACTCATTCCCTCACTCACACTCACTCATTCACTCACTCACTCACTCACTCACTCACTCACACACTCACTCATTCACTCACTCACTCACTCACTCACTCACTCACACACTCACTCATTCACACACTCACTCACTCACACACTCACTCACGCGCACTCGCCTTCGCTCGTCTTCACTCGCCCGTGTTCAGGACATCCTGACCGCGTGGAACGCGTCTCACTCAACAGAGGAAGCAATGGCGGGCAAGTTCTCGATTGTGTTTGAGCTCTACTTTGCCCTGCGCAAACTGATCAAGAGCGAGTACCGTCATCTGCCCGAAGACCAGCTCTGCAAGGTATGGCGCTACCGGGCTGCTTCACACGTGCACAACACATGAAAAACGACATGTGCACACTATTTCTGTGTTTGCAGGGCTGGGCAATCGTTATCCAACCCAACCTATTTTGCCCCATATTCACATCTGTTGGTGGTGGTGGTGATGGTGGTGGTGCTGCTGCTGCTGCGGCTGTTGTTGCAGATGGAGATGCCAAAAGTCCACGATTGGTTCTTCCCCGTGCTCATCAAGTGGCTGCAGCTCGTCGCTTCAAACTCCCCGACGTGGATCCAGCGGGTGCGACGCCTGTTTGCCGTTGCTTCCCTCCATCTCGCTGTTCTGGTGAACAATTGCGTGCGACTTCTTGCGCCACACAACGCAGCATCCAAAACAACAGCCAAACGAAACAACGTTTTTCTTGGCCTCAACCCAGCTCACTTCTTGGCAACTGAATGTGGGCTGCGTTTGTCTCTCTGAACACCCATGATTGCTGTGCTGCGTGGTGGGTGCTGCAGGCACTGGAGTACGACGAGCTTCAGCCAATCACTTCTGATGTGCAGTTCAGCAGCTCTGTCGTCGACGTGTTCCGCGTCCTCAATGATTTGCGCGACGTGAGCCGGCACTTGTCTTGTTGCATATGTCGTTGCCACACTGCCCTGTACGATGAATGATAAGCGATTGTGCTGACCCACGCTACATTCTGGATGTGCACTCACGAGTACACAAACACGCACACACACATGTACACTCATGCACACCCGTACACACTCGTACACACGTACACACATACGTACACACATACGTACACACACGTCAACGAATACGCACACACACACCTTCCAAACCTGTGCGGGTGTTACTTGCGGTTTCTTCCGTCTCAATTTGGGCTTGATTGAACACAGGTGTGGACAAACCTCAACTTCCCGCCAACGTCGGATTTCTATGGGCCGCTTGTGAAGCTTCTGGCGGACACGTTGAGTGAGATTGCTCTCAACTACGTGCGCAGTCTTCTTGAGCTGACTCGAGACAAGGTTCGATTCGTGTGCGTCTCGTGTCTTGCGCACACACACACGCACACGTGCGCACACACAGAGTTTGGGTTTGTTTGCCGGGACTTACCCACGCGTGCTCTTGCCGCCACCCTGCCACTGCAACAACCAACCAACCAACCAAACAAACAAACAAACAAACAAACAAACAAACAAACAAACAAACAAACAAACTACCTTTGCGATGCAGTTCCAAACGTCAAGTCGCGACGGCACATTTGAATTGTCAGATACCATTTGTGTTGTTCTCAACAACGCGCAAGAAGTCTCATTCAAGCTGGAGGTGCGTGTGTGTGTGTGTGTGTGTGTGTTTGAGGAGGTGAACGTCGCTGGAGGGACACACGTTCCACATATGCGTGAGCACACTGTTTCTGCTTTCCTCTCTGCTCCTCTGCGCTTTCGCTCACCCGACGATCAATGCCCTTTGCGTATGCCTTGCTGCACTGGTGCGTTGCAATGCTCGTGATGGGAACCACCGTTGAGCAGGACTTTGCAGAAGGAATGAAGAAAGATGCACAGCAGGTGGGAGATTTATTTTGTTTCTTGTGCTGTTATGTCTCACCAACTCTTTGTGATTGGTGTTGTTCTGCCCTTGACCTAGCTTGCTGTGATGTAACCTGCACGCGTTGCTTTTTCATCGACACGGCTACACGTCACTCACCTCTCTCAACGGGTGTTGTACCATTTGTTTAGGCCAGCGATGTTTGGGAGCACGTGGATGCGATTCTGCAATCTCGACTGGCGGACTGCCACGTGTTTCTCAGCGTAAGCTACACACATGCTGTTGCTGAATGCGTACCCGCCACAACACGCACATGCTCGCGTGCATGTGCTGGGCGAGTGTTTTACGAGTTCGTTAAACGGGTGCTTCCTTCAGAACATATGACAGCAACTATCCCCCGTACCCGCCAAGCGCGTTGTTGTTAACATTCACATGTGGGTGGGGGCGTGGCATGACTTCTTTCACTTGTCTGTCTGCATGCAGCGGGTGTGCACGGCGGTGGCGCGGTGTCTTCGGCCCGAGATCCTCCGCACAATGGCCATTGCGGTGTTCGAAAGCGACCTGGGTCACGATGCCAGCAAAGGCGAGCAAGTGACAACGTCGGATATGGAAGAGGTGCTGTGCTGGTGCTTTGCTTGACCACTTTTTCGCGCAGTGCAGCTTGTCTTCGAAAACGCTCGCCTTGCATGAAGTGTCAGAGTGCATGGCAGACCAGCAGACCACCGCCTCACTCACTCACTCACTCACTCACTCACTCACCTCCTTCACTCCCTCCCTCCCTCCCTCCCTCCCTCACTCACTCACTCACTCACTCACTGTGCTGTGTTGTTGGGGTGTTGCGTGCTTTGCATTTTCCTGGTCTTGTCATCTTGTCAGGCGGCATCTGAGCTTTTGGACTTCGTTAACAACTCCCTCATCACACTCGTCAACGGCATCTACCAAGAAACCTTTCAAGTGTTCTTGCTGTCACTCTGGAACGTGGTACGTGTGTGTGTGTGTGTGTAAGTGTGGTTGATCCCGTAGCAAGGCTCTCAAGAGAACCAAATGCTTTTGTTCGGTTCTACCAGGTGTGTGAATGCATTGTGGACATTCTCGTGCCAACAGATGCGATGCTGGGCACGCAGCGACTGGACGACCTCTCCGCAACACAAAAGGCGCTGCTGGTTGTACTGCTGCAGGTACGTTTTGCCAACCCACCAGCACAATTTGCGCACGGTCCAACACACACACACACACACACACACACACACACACACACACACACACACGCACACACACACACACACGCACACACACACACGCACACACACACACACACACACACGCACACACACACACACACGTGCAGACGCTGGAGGACTTTTTCTGGCAAGATGGTGCCGGGTTGACAAAGGACCAGCTGCGCACAACGGAGTGGGAGCTGGCCACAGATTTGTTGGAGAAAGTTGCATGGGACACGTCTGACCTGGTACGCTTCATTGCGCGCGTGTGTATGCCCCTGTTTCTGTGCGTGTGGTGCACCTGCGCTCGCTCGTCTCTATAGTTTGCCCTCTGCTCATGTCCGCCTGCATGACCATTTGTTTTGATGTGCGCAGATTGCCGTGTTTTTCAAGGAAGAGGCGAAGATTCAACAGCGCGCGTGTACGTGATGATGATGCTGATGATGATGATGATGATGATGATGATGATGATGATGATGATGATGATGATGATGATGATGATGATGATGATGATGATGATGATGATGATGATGATGATGATGATGATGATGATGTGCCATGCACGTGCACACACACACACACGGCAGTTGTTTGCGTGCCGATTCATCTGCTTCACTGTGCTGGTGCACAACACTTCATGTGACAGCGTTTGAGGACGAGTACCACCGTGGTGTCGCCACATTCACGGCGCAGTTGGATCCCACCAAGAACGAGCTCCACGTCACCGTCGCTCACCTGGAGGTCCTACTGCTTGTTCTTCGGATAAAACAAACGCTTCATGTGCCTTTTTCATACTATGTGTTGCTGAGTCAGTGACAGGCACTTCTAATCTCGTCCAATGTGACGTCACACCACACACACACACTCTCTCTCTCGTAGAATCTGCCTGTGATGGATTCAAACGGGAAGTGCGACCCATACGTCGAGCTCGATGTTCACCCAGAGATGACGCCAGGCAAGGTCAGTGCTGGTTGCTGTTGCTGCTGTTGTTGCTGCTGTTGCAAGCGTGTGAATCTTACATGAATTGGTTGGTTCCTTGAGTCCAAACCCCATACAGATGCGCACGTTCACATGTGCAATCTTGTCCACTGACCACAGCAACGCACGTCCACCAAGTACAAGACGCGCGATGCCGAGTTCAACGAATCCTTCACCTTCTCCACGGATGCAGAGAGTACTGAAGACTTTGTTCTGCACTTGGTGGCAATGGACCACGACCTTTTGTCAAGAAACGGTGTGTGTCTGTGTCTGTGTGTGTCTGTGTGTGTCTGTGTGTGTGTAGGTGGCGAGTTTAGTGACTTCGATATCCGATTTGGTGGTTGTGGTCGCTGTATCACCACTGCACTGTCTGCGTTGTCGGTTTACCGCTACCTTTCTCCCGCCTCTGCTGATCATGACGGCTGATGTCTCGACCACAGACTACATTGGCGAGTGCTTGCTGTCCTTGGAAGAGCTGCAAGATGCTCAGCCCCACCAGCTTCGCCGCTCGTTGAGGCGCGCGCCGGCACGGGACAAGGCCTGGCAGGTGTGTGCATTTCGCCATTGTGTCGAGTTGTTGGAGGAGCTACTTGTTGGTGGTGTGTGACACTGTTGCGAGTCAGGCATCAGACACCCCTGACAGTGAGTGAGGTGCGAGGCCAATCGGGACCGTGCCGAGACAGTTGAGTCGCGGCTGCACCTTGTTTTACCCAATGACCTCTTTCCCGTGCCCCTCTTCTCACCTCCTGACTCTTTCGTTTTCCTTTGTGTTCCATCCAACCCTGCAGGTGTTGCGGCTCATTGAACGAAGAAAGCGGCGCGACAAGACGGCCTCACACTTTGCGCACAGCCGCTCACACCTGAGCTCAAGCCACTGACCAACTTGTGTGGTGTGGTGGTGCGGTGGAGAAGACTGACAGCCACAACAAGGTCACGATGATGCGATGTGATTGTAGAATATTGCATAAATCTTCCACATAATTTTCACTCCCTCCAACAAACCAAACAACAACCACGACGATGATGAAGTTGTGTGGTGTGCTGGCGCTGGTGATGCTGGCGTCTGCGGGCGCTGCCACTGCCAAGAAGACCCTCTGGCACCAGCTTGACGCCTACTCCTTTGAGGTGTGCACACACATTCGCATGGTTGTGTGTGCATGTGTGTGTCTGTGTGTTGGAAAGGCAACGTTTGTGAACGTGTCACATGACAGAAGACCGTGAATTGTTTGTTTGCACACGACTTGCACAAAGCCTGAAGCTGCTCGAGCACCTGAAACTGCACGTTGCAGCCAACCACCTCAACAAAACCCGAAACTAAACCTAACCAGGACCTTTCTGAAGCAACAACAACAGCAACAACCCCTCACCCGGCCCATACATCGGCCCACCATACTTTGCATGTACTTCATTGACAGGACTTCAAGCTGGAGTTCGGAAAGACGTATGCCTCCCATGAAGAGCACGAGTACCGCCGCAGTATCTTCGAGCAGGTGCGCGGTTTCGTTGATGCAATGCTTGCGGCAGTACAGTCTGGCTGGGCATGTTTGCAACAACGCCTCCCCCCCCCCAGCCCCCTTCACCCCACGGCGGGTACCGTGTGCAGCCTGCACAACCACGCTCCAACGCGCCGTGATGCTATGCTGCCTCACTCTCGGAGATATTGTCTCTTGCAACCCTTGCCCAGACCCTGGCCACTGTCAAAGCGCACAACCGGGATGAGTCCAAGACCTGGAAGCAAGGCGTCAACCATATGTCCGACTGGACCGACGAAGAGGTGAGTTGTGTGTTTGTGGTGTGTGTGTGTGTGTGCGCGCGCGCGCCTGTTGTGGCTGCGTGCATGCGAAGCTTTCTCGTTTTGTGTTCTGTCGCTGAATGTTCCTTGCTTGCCTTCTCTGCCACACTCACGGGTGTTGTGACGCTGCACATACGCTCGACGCAGTTCAAGCGCCTTCTTGGATACAGCAAGGATGTTGGCTTCAGCCTGCACCGCCCGACTCCCCCAGATTTCAAGAGCAACGTCGACCTCGAGTCACTTCCCGATTCCGTCGATTGGCGCACAAAGCACGTCGTGACAACGGTCAAGGACCAAGGCCAATGCGGCTCGTGCTGGTGCGTAGAATTCCACAGCAAGAGAGAATCGCAGTGACCACCCAAGGCACACTACTGTGTGGATTTGAACGCCGTTGTACTGGGCACTACCTTTACCAGCACGCTTACACTCGCTCACCCACTCACCCACTCACTCACTCACTCACTCACTCACTCACTCACTCACTCACTCACTCACTCACGTACACACTCACTCGCTTACTCGCTCACACACATACACACACACACCCGCTCGCTCACTCGTTGTGGCCCAGGTCTTTCGCCTCTGCAGAGACGCTGGAGAGCCAGGTTGCCGTGAACAAGGGCTATCTTGAGGTGCTCTCTGAGCAAAACATTCTCGACTGCACCCCAAACCCACAAGAGTGCGGTGGCTTTGGTGGCTGCCAAGGCGGCACCGCTGAGCTTGCTTACGCGCAGATGGTCAAGAACGGTGGCCTGCAGACGGAATGGACATACCCTTACATCTCCTGGAAGGGCGACAACTACAAGTGCTCCTTTGACAAGTCAAAGTCCGCCGTGAACGTCACCGGTTACGTGAAACTTCCCGCCAACCAGTACGAGCCCCTCATGGAGGCTGTTGCCAACAAAGGCCCAATTTCAATCAGCGTTGAAGCCATCCATGTACGTGGTATTTGCTGGAGTGCATGCACCTCTGTGTGTGTGTGTGTGTATGTGTGTGTGTGTGTGTGTGTGTGTGTGAGTGAGAGACCTTGGTTGCGTGCCAGGTGCTTGCGGAGGTGATTGGCTGTGTCATTGTATCCCGCAGTTGCTCACTGGCAACTCCAATGCCATGTGTCTTGAACATTTACCTTGTCCTGAGCTCACCAATCACCATGGCTGTTAATCTCAATGTGCGTGCTTTGCTGTGCTCATAGTGGAAGAACTATGAGAGCGGTATTTTCAACGGTTGCAACCAGACCAACCCGGACATCGACCATGTCGTGCAACTGGTTGGCTACGGCACCGATAACGGACAGGGTTATTGGCTCGTGCGGAACAGCTGGACACCTCATTTCGGTGAAGGTGGTTACATCCGCCTCCTGCGTGCATCCAACGAGGTGAGCACTACACCGTGGTCATTGTCCCTGTGATGTGCTTCCTCTTGTTTGCCTTTCCCGTTTCTGAGCTTTGATTCCCGTTTCTGACTTAACCTTTGTGTTTTGTTTTTCCCCCTCTGATGATTGCTTGCTTCGTGTTGCCGCAGGGTCAGCGGTGTGGCATTGATGTCAAGCCCCAGGATGGCAGTGGGTGCAAAGGTGGCCCACCGACCGTCAAGGTGAGCTTGTCTCTCCTCACTACCCTTGTCTGATACACAACGTGTTCGTGAGCACGTGCCCTCGCATCGTCTCATCAGTTGATTTGGTTGCTTGTCCACTTTGCGCACGAACTCTGTTGTCACGTGAGCGACTCTTTCCCCTTCTGCTTCACTGTTGCTCACACTGTGTCTCATATCCCAACCCTTGCAGGCCTGCGGAACCTGTGGTATCCTGTTCGATTCAGTGTACCCAACGCTTGGCGCGTAACTTGCCTGCCGCTTGCTGATCCGCCCTTCAGCTGTCTTGCTTTTGTGTCTGCTGAATGTGTTTTGTTTCATGCATACTGTGTAACTTCTCGCCATTTGTGTCGGTATACCTCCTTTCTTGGGAATGATTTTTCGTGCCGTGCAAGAGCTGCGTTGGCGTCACAATCAACGAATGTCACTGACAGTCTGTAGAGATAGAAAGCAAGGGTGTGTGCTTACTGTAGGCAAACGCAACAAACAAGAACACAAGGAGAATGAACAAGCACAACAAGCTGCTGCCAAATCAACTCGGGCAGCACGCTCAAACAACCACCACATCTGTGCACACACAGTCAACAACGCTGCCAAGGCGACATGGGCAGAGTGTGCATGAACACAAACAATCTAAACAATGAGCAGCATGCATACATGCGCGCAGAGCAATGCTAGGCATGGCATGAATGCTTGCAGGCAAGCATACACAACAGACTTCACAACACTGCATGGCACGCGCACATGGCATCCGTCAAGCATGGCGAGCATGCACACACACACACACATGGCACACAACTCACGTGTGTAGGGGAAGGAGGAGAGGAGAGGCAGTTGGCACACATGCATGCCAGCAGAGAGGAAGGAATGTTTTCCAACGGAAAAACAACAAAGCAGGTGTTGTTGGCAAACAAGACAAAACCACACGAGAAGGCAAATTAGGAAGCACTCAACACAAAACAGAAACTCACTGACTCTCAACACTCCCCCTCAACTGCCTTCCTCTGCTCCGTCTCAGCCGTCGCTGTTCCCACCAGTCGTGGAAGGTGCTGCTCGAAGGTCTGCTTGTCCAGTGCCTTGGTCAGCGCGTCGGCAACCATCCGTGTGCCGGGACAGTGCTGCAGCACAATGGTTCCGTCGGCGATGAGCTCCCGCACGAAGTGGTGGCGTACCCGGATGTGCTTTGTGCGCGGCCTGGTGACGTGGTCGTTGCCGATGGCGATGGCCGCCTGGTTATCTGTCAGTATCTTGGTGGCTCCAGCCTCGGGCTCGTCGAGGTCCATGAGCAGCTGCCGCAGGAAGACGACGTCCTGCGCTGCAGCGGCGATGACCATGTACTCGGCCTCAGCGGTGCTCAGCGCAACCGTGGGTTGCAGCCGACTGCTCCAAGACACAAGACAGCCGTTGATGTAGCAGGTGAAGCCCGTCGTGGAGCGGCCTGTCAGCTGGTCTGTGCCGAAGCTGGCATCGCTGTAGCACACAAGGTCCAGCGGCTGGTCCTTGCACGTGCCGCTGCGTCGCTTGAAGAGGAGGCCGTGCTCGCTCGTCGCCTTCAGGTACCGCACGACGTGCTTGGCTGCCTGCCAGTGGACCGTCGTGTAACGGTCCATGTAACGGCAGAGCAGTCCGCACGCGAAGCTGACGTCTGGTCTCGTGCGGTTGGCCAGGTACAGGAGCGAGCCCACGAGGTTGCGGAAAGGCAAGCGTCGGTCGGGCTGCTCGCTGATGCTGGAGGCGTCGATGCCAACACGCATGGGCGTGGACACGCTGGCTGCGGCTGCCAGGTTGTAGTCGTTGACGATGTCGTTGATGGCCTGTGTCTGCGCAATGTGCAACACCCCGTCAGCTGGTGACAGCGGGGACTTCAGGGAAGGCCTGTCGTGTCTCAACAGATTATGAGACCCAGCCACTCCTGATCATCATCGCTACTTGTCTCACACTCGCTTGTGCTTCTTCTCTCCCTTCTGCTTGTTCCCCTCTCTTGTTTCTCCATCACCCTTCTTGAGCGTGCAGCATGTCTGACCCGTCGGACCACGTCGTTTCCACGCCAGGATTCAAGATGGACCTGCCCAAGTTCTCTGGCTCGCCCGGCACCTTTCATGCGTGGAGCATTCGCATGAAGATGGCGCTCAAGCTCCGCGGCGACGACGTCTGGGCAGCTGTGGAGGCAGGAGCATCGTCATCAGGAGGTCCAAGCTCAGCGACACGCTCAAGTGCAAGGAGACCGACAGCAGGAGATCACGCCAACCTCACCGCTTCAAACCTCATCGCGTCCACGCTCTCAGGCTACCCCCTTCTCCTCTTCACCAACGGAGAAGCAGACGTCAACGCCGGCCAAGGATGGGCCCGGCTCAAGGACCACTACGCTTCGCAGGACCGCCTCCGCATCGCAGAGCTCAAGGAGGCGCAGCTTCACGTCCCCTGCGGCAACCTCGCCCGCTTCTTCGAGCGACACATGGAGCTGCAGCAGCAGTTGCAAGGCGCAGGCGTGCGCCAGGACAACGAGGACCTCTTCACCATCGTCTGGAAGCAGCTGCCACGCTGGACAGCCCCGCTCACGCTTCCCTACTTTGCCAGTGGCCGCTTTCCCTCCCTCCTCGAGCTCAGCATCAGGCTGCAGCAGCTGGAGCAGCAGATGCGTGGTTCACGCACACAGCCGCAGGCAGGCGGCTTCATGGCAAGCGCACCGCCACGCAGAGGTGGAAGACGCGGCTTCTCCAACAGCAGCAACAACCACGGACGCCAGGGACGCAACAACGGCGGTAACGGCAACAGCAACGGCAAGGGGCGCCGCTTCCGTGGCAACTGTCACTACTGTGGCAAGTATGGACACCGTGCAGCAGAGTGTCGCAAGAAGCAACGCGACAACGGAGCAACAGGCTTCACTGCACAGGCACAGCATCAACATGGTCAAGACGCAGCAACCTTCGTCGCTGCCACAGCTACTACACCCACGCAGCTGCATGACCCACTCACGTGGCTTGCAGACACGGGTGCTTCACACCACCTCACCTTCGTCAAGGACGCCTTCGTGGAGCTGTCACCGCACCTGCAACAGCACCATCCACGCCACATCACTGCGTTTGGCGGCACACGTGTGCCCGTGCGCGGTGTTGGCTCTGTGCTGTTGCATGCACGCACGACGAGCGGAGCTACGATGCAGATTGTGCTACAGGAGTGCCTCTACGTGCCCGAGGGCCAGGCCAACCTCATCGCCCTCGGTCGTCTGACCAGGGACAGCAGCGGCAGGCCAACGGGCCACTCGCAGCGTGATGGCGCTGATGGGCACTACGTGCGCTTCAGCCACGGAGCCGAGGTCAAGCTGAAGGAGCGCAACAGCCTCCGGTGCTGGCCCATTGTTGCTGTTGGTCCATCCACGGCACACGGTCTCACCGCTGATGCCTGCAAGCAACCACAGCAACCCACAGCAGCTCCTGCAGCCCAGAGCAAGGCACACACACCATCGATGCATGAGGTGCTTGGCCACCGCAACGACAACGACGTGCAGCAGTACTGCAAGCTGATGGGCATCGACGATCGCAACGCCATCAGCAGCAAGCAGTGTACAACGTGCGCAGTGACCAAGAGCACTCGTCACAGTGTCAGCAAGCACGCGGAGCGCACACAGGTGCCCGGCGAGCGCATCCACGCCGACATCGTCGACTGGACCGCGGACTCACCCACGGGCAAGCGCTACAGCCTCGTCATCGTCGATGAGGGCAGCAAGCTCTTACATGCAGTCCATCTCAATGCCAAGAAGGACGCAGTTGCCGCGTTTCAGTCTTTCCTGCGCGAGACCAAGCTCCCCATCTCGCC